AGAAAGAGGGCAGTGACATTGAAGAAGAAAGAAAGAAAGAAAGAAAGAAAGAAAGAAAGAAAGAAAGAAAGAAAGAAAGAAAACTAATAGAAAGTAGTGACTGAAATTTTTCAGGAAGGAACGGAAAATTCTGGTGTAAAAGATACAGTAAGGTAATTAAGAAAGTAAGTTTGGGGAAAAGAGAAACATAAATGAAAAAAAAAGCATAATAAAAAGAAAACAAATGGAGAAAATCTTTCCGAAAATATTTGCTAGTTGTAAACGTACACATTATACGCCTCGGCTGTTTGTTTTTCGCCTTGATCAAGGCACGCTTGCGCACGCGTCGATCGGATGAGCACGTCCCAGTCTGAGGAAAAAATAAATAATTGACTCCTCGCTATTTGCGACTCGGTTATGGGAACGTGGAAATTTTTTTTTTTTTTTTAATGCAATGTTTGTTCATTATTTGTGGAAAGAGTAAATTAAATAAATACGAAGACTTGTATGCATGATGAAAGAAAGATATAAATGTATACGGAATACTATGAAATGTTATGAATTTGAAAAGATGAAAACAAAGTTCAATTGGCAAATAATTATTTAAAAAAAGAAAGAAATCGGATTATTGTTTTCCAAGGAAATGCTGGCAAGGATAAAATAATTTTATAGATAGATAGATAGATAGATAGATAGATAGATAGATAGATAGATAGATAGATAGATAGATAGATAGATAGATAGATAGATAGAAATAGAATGAGATTAGATAGATAGATAGATAGATAGATAGATAGATAGATAGATAGATAGATAGATAGATAGATAGATAGAATAGGATGGGATAGATAGAAATAGAATGAGATTAGATAGATAGATAGATAGATAGATAGATAGATAGATAGATAGATAGATAGATAGATAGATAGATAGAATAGGATGGGATAGATAGAAATAGAATGAGATTAGATAGATAGATAGATAGATAGATAGATAGATAGATAGATAGATAGATAGATAGATAGATATGAACATACTGAGAAAGAAAGAAAGAAAGAAAGAAAGAAAGAAAGAAAGAAAGAAAGAACAGACTGGGGCATTGATATCAGAATTAAAAGACATATATATATACGGATAGAAAGAATGCGAAACGGAGATAATGAAGAGACCGATACATATAAATATCAGCATATTGAGATAGATATATAGATAGAATGATAGAGAGTGCGAAAGAGATGATAGATAGATAGATAGATAGATAGATAGATAGATAGATAGATAGATAGATAGATAGATAGATAGATAGATAGATAGAATGAAAAAGAATAAACTAAATTATTTAAAAGAAAGAAAGAAAGAAAGAAAGAATAGGATGAGATAGATATATAGATAGAAGTTAGAGAGCGCGAAAGAGATAGATAGATAGATAGATAGATAGATAGATAGATAGATAGATAGATAGATAGATAGATAGATAGATAGATAGATAATGCGAAAGAGATAATTAATAGAAAGAAAGAAAGAAAGAAAAAAAAAAGAAAAAAAGAAAGAAAGAAAGAATAGGATGAGATAGATAGATAGATAGATAGATAGATAGATAGATAGATAGATAGATAGATAGATAGTGTGAAAGAGATAATTAATAGATGGAAAGAAAGAAAGAAAGAAAGAAAGAAAGAAAGAAAGAAAGAAAGAAAGAAAGAATAGGATGGGATGGATAGATAGACAGAAACATAATGAGATAGATATGAGTAGATAGGTATATATGGAATCGCGATGAGAATATACTGAGACAGTCACTTACGAAATAGAAATTTAAAAAAACCCCCAATTATGTAGGTTACAAAAAAAGATCACAGATGTTTGTAAGGTTCCAGCCCAAATATATTAGTTTGGGCAAAAATTCCGTTAACTTACTAAGTAGAAAATTTACCAAATAAACCAACCAAAGTTTTTGGTCAACCCAATAAATTCAAATTAACTTCAGGGCGTTCCTACCAAACCAGAAAAATTTAGGTAGCATGTTTAGGCGACACAGTTGTCCACTTCATCAAACCTTCTGTGGATCCCCTTTGGGAAGAAAAAAAACGACAAAAAGTCAGTTCGTCAGCGTAGATTGAAATTCAAAGGAATACACGTCACTCAAAGAAAATTCACATTCCACAAATTTACAGCATGTATAAAATAAGGTGATATTCAACAAAAAATTATTAGCACTAAAAATAATATTATTTATAAAGCGACAATTTAGAAACGAACATTTTATTATTTGAATACACATTGAAATATCGACTCTTTCATTGTAGCAAACTTTCAAAAATTCCCAAAGTCCAAATAGCTGCAGATCCACTCCCCATCCCGACCTCGTCAGCTTCCACTCCTTTCTTGTTCCCTGCCACTAACTTCGAAGGTAGGTATATTAGTCCATAGCCAGCATATTCAGGCTATTCAATCAACCCCGTAAGTAAAACATATGGGCTATTCCATCAACCCCATATGCAGCACATACGGGCGCTTCCATCAACCCCGTAAGTAGAACATACGGGGCTATTCCATCAACCGTTTTATGTTATAAACGACGGAATGAATATGACACGGTTTTTATTTGTATCATGGAGCCAACAGCATCGGCAGGTGCACACCATCAAACTTTTTCAAGATAAGCGGATTCTTATTTAATATTTGTGAAATTAAAAATTCATTCGAAACTCTTTCTCTTTCTATATTTTTTTTTTGTGTGCAGAGACAGAATGTGGGTGATCAAGGCTCTCCACAATTTCTTATTGTCGCATGTTAGTGTAGACCAAATTTATTTTTAACTTACTTAGGATTAGTAGTTGAGTTGATACATTTTTTATTGCAAGTGGTTCATGAAAATGGAAATTTCTTATAACTCGACCGAATATTAGACTAACCATTCAAGTAGGAAGAGACTGCATATATGCAAAATCAAATTTGAAATATTGAGTCTAACCTAAGACTGAAAAGAAACAAATTTTAGCATAGAAAACACGCAACTACTTCAGCCAAGAGCTATGGGCCAAATCAAGATGAATAAACTTCAAAATATTCACGATACATCCATATCTATCTATCTATCTATCTATCTATCCTATCTATCTATCTATCCCAGTCTGTTCCTATCTATCTATCTATCTATCTATCTATCTATCTATCTATCTATCTATGTCCAACAAAACAGTAGTACAATGACAAGGTAAATTTTCACAGCTAGCCCCAAAAGCTGCGATTCATGGAAGAAAGGTAATGTTGGTCATGTGGTTGGGTCGTAGTGGTAACATTCATTTAGAATTCTTAAAACGCAATGAAATTAAATGAACATTTATACAGCCATTAAATGAACATTTATACAGGCATTAAATAAACATTTATACAGCCAGCAACCGCAATGTCCTTAAAAGTTTGGCTAAAATAGGGAAAATGTTCGTCTCCATGACAAACAATGTGTGTTCAAATACAGCAGAAATAGCACAGGAAAACGAAATGGAACTCGGCTGGTCTGTTCTAGCTCACCCGCCATATTCATCCGACCTGACACCGAGCGATTATAACGTTTTTTGATCGCTACAAAACGATTTTACGAGGGACACTTTCTCTAATGAAAGTTCGTCGAAAACTCTTTCACATCAAAACAAGCTGAATTTTACTTTACACCCGGTATATATATATATATATATATATATATATATATATATATATATATATATATATATTTATAATGTGGTTGGTCCTGATCTGACATCTCGTCTTCAGTCGCTCTCTCACAGACATGCCGTCTCATCCCCCTGTCTTTTCTACAAATACTTTCGCGGTAACTGCTCCGCTGAGCTACTATCGCTAGTTCCCAGACTGCATGAATTTAAGTGTGCTACTTGGTTGGCATCAGGGTCCCACCCTTTCACTGTCAAAACGGTTAAATGTGGCCGTCTCTTCTACTTCAATAGCTTCACGTCTCGCACCTCCCATCTGTGGAATTCCCTTCCTATTACTTGTTTCCATGATAGCTATAATCTCCAATTATTCAAATGTAATATCAGTCGACATCTCCAGATGCCCTGAACTATCCCCTATCCTTCTCTTCATCCTTTCCTCTATCACTCCTCTTTGCTCTCGCTCCCACTTTGTAAACCCCTGCGTAATAGTGGCAACCCGCCTTGCTTGGTGTGAAATGCTTATATATATATATATATATATATATATATATATATATATATATATATATATATATATTATTATTATTATTATTATTATTATTTCCTTTGATTTCTGGTGTTTACATATTTCTTTCCGGTTCCCTTGAGGGACCTAAGGTTAGAAATGGCATCACGACACTTTCCACTGACAAAAAAAAAAATTACATAGATAAAGCCCTTCGTAAAGTGTGGGCTGTACTTGTCAGAACAATTTTTTGTATCTCCTTGAGGCATGGACTTCCAGGAATCCCTTCAATTAGTCTACTGCAATCTTTTCCAATCATTCCTAGGGCTCCAACTACAACAGGGATTGTTGATGTTCCCATATGTCACATTTTCGATATTTCTATTTCAAGGTCCTTGTATTTTGACAGCTTTTTGAATATCTTCAAAGATACATTGCAGTCAGCAGGGACTGCCATATCAATAAGGAGGCACTTTTTTTGTTTGTGGTCTTTAATAACAATATCCGGGCGGTTGGCTTTGATTGTTCTGTCAGTGTGTATTGTGTAGTCCCATAGAATTGTAACAGGTCCTATCTCCGTAACCGGGTCTGGGTGGTGTTCATACCAGTTTCTTTCAGTTTTCTTCCTGTAGAAGTTGCAGATTTTCCAGTGCAGATATTGGCCCACGCTGTCATGCTGGGTTTTATATTCAGTGGGTGCCAATATCGTGCAACCTGATACAAGATGATCAATCGTTTCTGGATATTTATCACAGAATCTGGATTTTGACACAATTTATTATTATTATTATTATTGTTGTTGTTGCTGGTATTATTATTTTAGTCTTGGAATTATGAGTTTAACTAATGTAATATATTTCTATTCATGGAAATATATTGTGACTATTTATGATGAATAAAACTTTTCTCTATTATTTTATTGGTGTGTTTCACCTACAATTTACAAGAAATGTTTTATGCAAGAAATTTAATATCATTTTCATTTCAATGAAAATATCTTCAGCTCAAGTTTTCATTTAATGTATATTGTAACGGAGATTGTCTGCTATGTTATTTTTTCAGCAGTACAGCAACATTTTACATAAATATAACACTATAAACATTTTTGTATTGGGGTGTGTATACATCTCGGAGGACTACTCATTTTTGGAAATTCTAAGGTGACTAACGCAGGGTTAAAAGCCAAATCAACGACTGAGACTCTCAAGATAAACTTGCCTCAAGAGCTGAATTAATACCAGTTAATATCGTAATCACAGCACAATGGTGCCAACTGAAGTCCTTCTTTGATAATGTCTATGCTTTGAGTGTCCCATGAAAATTCATGAAATAAGCAATACGGGCGGCTGGGTGTAGGAAAGGCTGCTGTCCAGGTTTGTTTTTTATATTAAAAATCTGTGGGATTATTTATTCACATCATAGCAGCAGAAATTCGGCTTGCGTTCACGGGGATGAAAGCAGTCTTGACAAAAAATAAAATGTACAGTAATGACAAGAAATGTATGGTAAACTCTATGTTAATTTCATGCAATTTATTTATATTTTTGAGTGTATTGATGTGTATATTTTTTTAGGTTACAATTGTTTTATGATACATGTGATAGAAGGGAGAAATTTATTCCGTTGTATTACAAGTCATATCGCAGAGAAGTTGAACACGTGTTGCCCGTAGCAAGGTTCGTGGTGAAGAGATTGAATTTAACGTCTTTTTGACTGGATGTCCGTATTTTCAGTAGGAACATTTTTTGTTGCATGCTAGGAGTACTTTTATTATTTTAAATATTTTTAAGTTATTTTATACAAGGTTTTTATGTTATTATTTTCTTTTATTTTATTTATAATTTTCATCATCATCATCATCATTATTATTATTAGTATTATATATTTTATTTTTATTTAAGACATTAAAAGACATTTAAATAGTTGATCCGCAAAAAAAAGGAGTGGTTGAAAAAAATTATCTTAAGCGAAAATTCATTGGTCCTTTTTGTTGTTGTTTTTGTTATTGTTGTTGTAGATTATTTGTTTGAAGTCGCCGACTGGCCGTCAATGAAGATTCATTGAAGTTGTTGTTGTAGATGATTCTTTTCAAGTCAACATGTTTCTTCAACAGACGATAAAGAAAAAAAAAAAAACATGAAGCCATGGTGGATAGGAGACCGTGGAATCTCTCTCTTGTGTACGGCTTGGAGAAAGCCCATTCTCTGATCTCTGAAGCTCAAAATCTGTCGGGTTTTACAACAATTTTTTCCCCGAAAGTAGGCTAATAAATAACAGGTATTTAGTTTTCTCTGATTAGTCAAATATTTAAGTGGTGATGTTAATTTCTAACCAAGAAAATACACTTTTTCATTTAAACTTTGTGTTATTTTTTCAGCAGTATTTTACATAAATATAACACTATAAACATTTTTTGTATTGGGATCTTTTTTTTGGCATTTATTTGTATTAGTGGGATCTTGTTGGCATGTTATTCGGCAAAAATAAAATTTTGGGTGTGTTTTAATATGGTATTTATGTGTGTATGTAATTGTTTTGGAAATAGGATTTATTTTCTATAAAGGAATCAAGTCTTTTGGAATTGGCATCTTGCCCAGTAAGGGAGACATGTGTGGCAGGTGTCACCAGACCGGAATCCAGCTACAGTTTGCAGAACGAATGTAAGGAATATTAGTGTGAAGGGATTAAAATCCTTGTGACTGACTCCCTCGGATCGTAAAGAGAGACATGCGCAGTCACCCAAAGACAGTTCGCAACAGTCAAAAAAACACTAATAGGGGCATCGAATGTAAGGACGCTACATGATTGTGGACAACAGGAAATAAATAGATTAAATAACATTTTTCTATTAATTTATCACCTGAAGCTCAAGAGCCACTCGAGGTAGAGGATTACTGAATGAGATTGTTGTAAGAGCGTAAAAAACTTAGGTAAATAGTGCAGTTTATGAAGATATGTAGGAAATATAACAGTTAACCGTAGACTTGAAAAGTTAAGACTGCAATTATCAAGGAAGACATTCTCTCATGATTTATTTTATTGTATCTTTTTCCTTTTATGTCGGTTTCTTCTTCACCCCTTACCCATCTATATCTAGAGATAACATACGTTAAGTTAAGTGATGTCTGGTCCACACCAAGTGAGCTTAAGGATAAAGAATTGAGATGGTACATCTAACTCACTCATGTTTTCTCTCACCACTCACTTCCTCACTTCGTTAATTTACATATGCTTATTACGGCCCGTCAAAAATGTGTAAATTTCTTTTCATTTTTCATTTCAACCTTTAGAAGTAAAGTCTGATGATCCAGAGCCCTTTAAAAGGGCTGTGGTGAAATAATT